AAATATCCAATCAATGCATTGCTTACCGTGAACTGTGTAGTAATCTCTGATAACCCGTGAAGTTACTATCAATAATTAAACTTGGAAGATTGTTAATTTTATAAATATGAATAAGGGACACAGGGTTTAAATAAATAACGTGACGTTTAAAAATCACTGTTAAATTTTCGACTTCCCTTCTTCCTTTCACCCTTGTCACTGCAATACTTTATACAATCTATTACAATCAAACTTTAATTTATAGTATGTTGGGAACATGAACCAGATAATAGACATTGACAAAGTAATTTAGAGCTTAATATTAATGATCCGAAAAGAAATATAATTATAAAAAGTGAAATGAAAACCGATTATAATGATATTATTGTATTAAATTGTTTTGTTAATGACTTTTAGAAGTGTGTTATTTGATGATATTAATAAATAAAAAACGACCTTTAAATTATCATTTTTTTAGAGGACTACTTTTATAGATGAGATGTATTTTAAAAATTGCTATAAATATTGGTGAATTGAGCCAATAGAAATGATGAGATGTTGTGTAACAACATTAATTCTCCTTATTATATTGTTGTATTCAGGTCTTTCGTTATAAATAATTTTGTATTGTAAGTAAAAGGATTTAATTAAATATAATGACGCTAAATTTATTTAATAATATCAAGTTATCCTCAACGTCGTCGCTCTACACTTTCGCAATGTCAATATATTAAACTAAAAAAACTGTGCAAATACGAAAACTAAATAAATATAAACTAAGAAAATCGTGAATTTTTTCTTTATAGCTTATCTTTGAATAAACCAAGAAATGAAATAAATAAGGAGTAATTAATTTAATCATATATAGATAAAAACTAAACATTTCTATAAAGTAATTACTAATTTTATTTATTTATTTCTTTTATTTTAAAGTTTGTATCTCAGGTTCAAAATGGAATAATTACATTTACTGGTAACTTGTAAAAGTGGGAGTTTCTTTTCTTTATACTTCTTGCTTACAAAAGAATTTTAAAAGAAAAAATAGTGAATATGTATTTATATGTGTTCTTTTATTCGAATAATTTTTTTTTTTGCTTATTCAGGTTGGATATCTTTGGTCTGAAGTTTATAAAAAAAAATAAAACCTGAAATAAAATAAAAAAATAATAAAAAAACTCACTTATTTAAATGTCGTAGCACCCGATGCAATCAAAACCTGAATGAAATAAAATCGAAAATAAAAATAAAAAAAAATAAAAAAAAATAAATCTAAAAACTTACTTTCAATCGATTCAACAATAAAAAAAAAAAATGAAAATAAACAAAGCTTACCTATGTTATAACTTTAAATAGGAAATAAAAAAAAAATAGAAAAATAAAATAAAGAAATAAAAAAAACTTCATTACAAAACAGCCCGAACTATAAAAAACAAATGAAATAAAATGATAAATATAAGAAAAAAATACAAATCTACATTAATTTGATACATGATTCATCTAAATTTTAAGGAAAAAATAAATAAATATCACGAAAATTAAATGCTAAAAAATTTAAAAATAATCAAAAGTAAGTGTTAAATTATTTTTGATAAATAAGAGATAATAAATTATAGTAATTCAAATCAAATATAGTTTTATGAAATAATCATTCATTTATTGATAAGAATTGGAGGATAATGATTTTATAGGCAGGTATAAATTAATATAATTAAGTACAAAATATTTTTACGGGCTTTAAGAAATAATTCTAAATAAAAAAATGTATAAAATAAATAAATCTTATTTTCAATTAATGTTTTACCAAATGTGCACATGTCTCTTAATTAAGTATTATAATTTAGCTTGAAAGACAACATTTATTAGTATGCGATGACTAAAAATATAAAAGTTTTAATTTACGAAATTGAATATCGTGACTGGTTAAAATAGTTTTTTTTTTTACATTAGGAGTCTTCTGAATACCAACTACATACGATACGAAAATATATTTCAGTCAAAATACCAGCAATATTATATTTTGAGTTACAGATTAGTCACGGTCATGACCGGTCATAACCGGTCATAACCGTGATCCCTACGAATCAAGGAAAATGTTACAGATCGACATTGGCAAATTCGAATTACTATTCGGCATTTAAATATTAATGTGAAATATTAATTAATAAATTGACCTACCCGATAATGTGTTCTGTTTCATGAAAATATCTCGTAACAGGTTATTATAATTTCAAAAAAATAAAAAAGAATAACTTAAAACCCGTTTTATATAGTAAATTTTTTGTATATAAAGAATATCAAAGTGCTAATTAAGTAGCTTCTACTACAATCGAAATAACTATTTGATACCCTTTACATGAGTGCTTCGGGTTGTGCGATGTTCTTTTTTTTTTTGTAAATTCTTAATAATATAAAAAAACATGAATACAAGTACTTCTACATATTCGAATTTATTTGACATTAATGTATAGATGATGAGCTCGATTTAAATTTTGATGAAAGTGATCCAATATTAACAAATATTAAAAATGAATTCCTTGCTTTTTTTTGATGATGTTGGAGGTCCTGAAATGGCACCATCTCCTTTTACTCATCATGATATTGAATCAGATAGTACAATCGAAAGTGACTCCAGTTTTGAAGAACATTTAGAAGAAGATTATGAAGAAACTGATGTCGCCAATTATGAAATAGGTATATATTTTTTAACATAATTGTATTTATATTTATATATAATTTTTATATTAATATAATTATTTATTTATAAAGATGTCTTATACGTTAGAAATAGGAGAAGAGTATTAAAAGGAAAAGGTGTTATGCAAAATATACAATAAATTTTCTTATACAGTTTTTTTATTGATATAAATGTAAAACTAAACATTTTTGTTTTAAAATGTTATAAATTTTTAAAAAATCTATGAATTATAATTTTTAAAACTCTAACCAAGCTAAAAATTCATAAAAGTTTTCGGTTAATTTAATCAATGTATAAAAATATACATTTTATAAAAAAATTTGAATAAAATAGTGTAAATAACAAAGCTTTTTAAATTAAACAAGTACAGTTTAAATTAAAATCTATTTTAACAAGGAAAAAAATAAAAAAATGTTTCATTTTAGTTACGCAAAATGAAAAATATTGAAGATCATATGACTGTTACTGTTGATGTCAAACGGGTCCAGATTATCATGATTTTTATATATGCTTTCCTACTGGAAATCTGAGACTATTAAACACTGAAAGGCCTCTTACATTTGCTTCGATGTCCGAATAATCTCTCTCAATTACAGCAATGCCAAATACATATTCGGTTTTGCTTCTTCTATTTAGTTCGTCACTTGCACGATGGAAAGGGTTATTGTGTCGAAAAATTAAAATGAATTTCTTTTATTGCAAGGAAACGTTAATCAAATTGTGTTAGATGCTAGTTTTGTTTATTCTTTCCTGGTTGGTTAATTTAAAATTAAATACAATAAATGCAACATCGAACTCGTTGATCCCGATCCCCAACCAAAAATAACGAGAAATGTTTTGTGTAACATTTTGAAATATAAAAATTGTCGTGAAGTCATTCATATCATAATTATCAAAGCATTTTTTTCATAAAAATGGAACTTATTATTAGAAATCATGAAGACTCATTTGTTCCAACTCAATTAAAATCCAGCCCTGTGCCAATTATGTTTTTACCTTTTAAACACCATCCGGTAGATCCTGGTGAATGTCATTGCGGAAAGTTGTACTCGAAAACACTTTTATTTGATCAAGAATATTGTAAAACTTGCTTATCCAAGTATATTAGTGATATAACTGATAATAATACATATTTGGATTTACTTATAATTACAAATAATGTTCAATGTAATAATAATCATGATGAAAGGAGTACAGAAAGCAAAACTATGATGTTGACTTTATAATTTGTTTAAATTGTTATAAAGCTGATTTTGGATGGGTAAAATCATCTTCAAGCAATAATGATATTCCAATTTGTTATTTACCATTATGGGATCAAAGTCTTAATTCTTGTAAGAATTGTGAAAAATATCTAATTCACATATCTGATTGTCTTAAGTATTGTGAATTTTGCCAAATAAGTTATAATGGATGCAGATATTGTTTAACAACAAATTTTATTAGCGGAATTGTAAATCAAACTCATTGTAAAAAATGCAATAGAATATCGCTAATTAATATTGATACATTACTTATAAACGGTGTTACTTCATTATTATGTAGTGGAAGTAATAATATAAATGAGTTTATTCAAAATACAAAACTTAATAGTCAGATTCGGATTAATTATTACATGAAAAGAATTATGAATTGTTCTATCCTATTCGATTATAATGTTTTCGAAAGTATCTTTATGTTTTCGCGTTCAATTAAATGGATAGCATTTTCTCAAATTAAAAATTTAGAAAAAATAGCAAAAGGAGGATTTGGAATTATTTATAAAGCAGATTACTTAGGCCTTATAACTAAATTCAATAATAATAATTCAAATACCACAAAGGTTGCTGTAAAAAGATTTTTAAATTCAAAGGATTTTAACAAATACTTCTTAAATGAGGTAACTTTTCGATATTCAATATCCAATGTAATATTGCTTAATAATTTAAAATATTCCGATTATATTATTAGATAAAATCAAATGATATTTGTTATTCTAATACTCATATTATGAAAATTTATGGTATTACAAAAGATCCTAAAACAAATGATTATATGATAATAATGGATTACGCATCAGGAGGGGACTTACATAATTATTTACAAAAGAATTTTACCGAAATAATTTGGAATAAAGATAAAATATATATTTTGTGGCAGATTGTAACTGGGTAAATTCATATTTCATTTAAACCATTTTATATTAATTAATAATTTATCATGATAATTTATTTTTAAGTTAGACTTCAAACTATTCATGATAAAAATTTTATACATCGAGATATACATAGTGGAAATATATTACTTAGTAACCATTGGCAAATTGGAGATTTCGGATTATTACAACCTGCAAAGAATACTCTATTAAATAATGAAATATATGGGGTAATACCTTATATAGCACCAGAAATATTTAATGGTGCTTTATTTTCAAAAGCATCTGATGTTTATAGTATAGCTATGATTATGTGGGAACTTACAACAGGTTGTAAACCTTTTGCTAATTTTGAACATGATCATAATCTTATCTTTAAAATTATTGATGGAAATCGACCTGAAATTACACAGGATACTCCTGAATGTTATGCTAATTTAATGAAAAGATGTTGGGATAATGATCCTTTAAAAAGACCTACTATACAAGAAGTTCAGAATACAGTTAATGATTGGTTTACAAATCTAAATGGTACGCAATTTGATAAAGCTGAAGAAAAACGATTGGAATTAATACAATTACGGAAGCTCGGTTTTGAATTGAATGAAAAACATCCAAAAGCAATCTATTCAAGTAGAGCATTAAATTCTTTATTTTCTAAATCTTTATCTATGAATTCACTTACGAATTCGCTTAATATAAAACAAGGTATATTATATTTACTTAAAACAATAATAGCAAGCAAAATTAATATTAAAAGTATTAATTAGATTGTTAATCAAATATTAATTTATTTATTATCCTTCAAGAATATATTTTAAAAGAACATGAATGTGATATACATACACAAAGGTATTGTAATTTCTTAAATCTTAAATATGGTGTTGTTTTATTTTTAGTTTGTATTATTCTAAATTTACGATATTTAGTTCACCTTTAGCAAGTAATTTACAGTATCCTAATGCAGGTAGACCATCAATTAATATTAATAATATGTTTTTGAATTTCATTTATTAGAATATGTTTCAAAAGAACTTGAATTTGATATTTTAAATTGTAATAATTAAATAATACATAAAAATGTGCGAATTGTGATATTCTATAATGAAACTTCATCTCAATTTTCCTTAAGTAAATTCAATCTAAATAAATTTTAAATATAAATGAATTTAATTTAAAAACACGTCAGTATGTATCTTTAACATTACAATAATTTTACAATATAAAATTAGCTTTAAATCAATATTGTTAATAATTTAATTTAACGTAAATTCAACAACGCAAAATGTTTCAAACCCGTAAGTGTAATTTATTTTCGTTCATTAAATTCAAAATAATTACAAATTTGTCTTTACAAAATACTTTCGACCTACATTAAAAAATTACGTATTCATTAACATATCAAAGTTACTTTTCTTGTTAGTTAAACCAAGATAGTGAAGTAGTTATTTTCGATGAATTTCAAGAAAGTTAAATATAAATACTTGTAAAAATTGAATTGATATTAACTATTTAACAAAGTTGTAACTAACATTACAAACATCCCCTTCACCTGACATTCAAAGTAAACTTGCAAAGCGCAATCTACGATAAGTATTCAAAATTGTAAGATTACTATGTAAGCCTGAGATACAACCGAAGCAATCGAACCAAAAATTAACTTATACTTGAAAATTAGATTATACTAAATATCCTAAATTGATTTTTTATTTAAAAGGACTTTATTAATATAAATAAAATAAGAATTTTCATCATAACGAATACTAATTGACTTTATTTGATTAAAAATTATAAAATTTCATTTTTTGTTTTCATGATTCTAATAAATATGTCTATTGCGAAAGATAAAAGTCGATGCTAGAAGAAATAAAATTAAACATAAATAAAAAGATACATAAACATTAAAATCGATATAGGAAAGAAAACTTTTTACTATCTCGAGTGAAACCGCGACAAAACATCATGCACCAATAATTTAATTTCAGTGTAAATCTTTGTAAATGTTGAAATAAACGATTCCGATTGAGCGGTATTGTCATCAAAAAAAAAAAAACGTGTGCAAGTTTAAAAGTTTTGATAAGGGTTTTGACTTAATGAATATATCTTTAAGAAATAATAAATGTTATCTAAAAATCTTACAAACTGTATAATCAATTAAACTAATTATGTAAGCTATAATAAAATTTTTACCTTACCTGACATGGAATAACTTTGCAATAATTTGAATGAGCTTCCACTAAAAATTTCATTATTGGATAAAAGTTTTTAAAATTTTGAAAAACCACCCGAATAATATCAAATTTTTTGTAAGGCCATGCAACTTCGATTTTTCGGTTCACGTAACATTAAAGCAAAACAAGGTAAATTGGTAAATTGATCACGTGATCTCGAAAATCAAACTATATTTAAATTTTTTCTTGTTTGAAATATTAATTATTAATGATATTTTTTATTAATAAAAAAAGTTTATATAAATATTATGCCATCTGATTGGTCAGGGTTTTTTATAGTAAAGTTATCATGTGACCTTACATAATAAAATCGGCATATCAGATTTTGTTTAAAAGAAAGCGGCGAAAGAAAGATTTATCTTTGTTTGTGTAATATAAGATTTATTGTATGATACAGAATATAACAACACATATAAAAAAAAAAAAGGGGTGACCGTGTCAACTTTAAAATTTTATCTAGAAATTTAAAAATTTTCTTTGTCAGGCCTAATATTACGAAAATCACATTTCATTTCTAAATATTCCTAACTCCGTCAAAATGCCTATTATTCATGTAAAAAAAGTTATAATTCTAAAGTTTTAAAGGATTGGGAAGGTTTACCTGTTGAGAAAGAAACAAAAATAAAAGATTTTTGTTTGGAAATATATCGATTTTATATCTATTACCTGACTGGTGGGAAGCAGATTTTGAAATGAAGTTTAGCCCATCAAAAACTTTAGTTGGAGAAAGAATTTCAGCACA